AGTAGCGCTCCTTCTTAACTACAGTTTTTTTAGGAATTTTCAAGACTAATTGGAAATTTTCGAGACTACTGGGGGATTACTATTGTATACAGCGTCTCTAATTTATTTTCGGAATTTCGGCATTTTCTGGACTAGATAGCTATTTTTGGGGTTTCGAGATTAATTCGTTATTATTATTGTATACAGCGTCTAGAAATTTTTGGAAGGTTCGGGATTTTCCGGACTAATTCATGATTACTATTATATACTGAAAATATCATTTTTCAGGGGGTTTTAGACTTTTACGGAATAACTCGGAATTTTCGGAAGTTCTCGGTATAAGTTTTGTTTGCAGTATTGAGTGAAGCCATAACTGCTTTACATAATTTTATATTTTTATTCAATCCCAATTCCTATTTAGGCAAATTTACAGGCAAAAAAATATAGCGTAGAGTTTTTCATAAATCCAAAACACGTCAGACCAAATACATAGCGCCTTAACTTATGTATTCATGTGGATGTATGGATTCATGGACTTGGATTTATATTTTGCACATTACTGTACTTCGATTATTACACTTTAAATTAAAGCAAATGAACATATTTACATATTGCTTCTTTAACTTGCACACATAATTTAACATCCACCAGATTTACCTTTTTATGAAAGCTTCGCATCAGGATTGCGCGCGAATTAAAATAAATTAATTGATTTCGACACAATTTATCTAAAAGGAGTTGCCTATACGCCGCTATGTCTGAATTTGGCATCCCCTCAAAACTCATACGGCTGTGTAAAATGACGTTGAGCAATACCACCAGCTCCGTCAGAATTGGAAAACACCTCTCCGAGCCGTTCACCACAAAACGGGGTTTCAGACAGGGCGACTCCCTTTCATGTGACTTCTTTAATCTGATGTTGGAGAATATAATAAGAGCTGCAGAACTGAACCGCTCAGGAACAATTTACTATAAGAGCGTGCAATTGCTGGCTTATGCCGATGACATCGACATCATCGGTAACAAAAACCGCGAAGTCTGTTCTGCCTTTTCCAAGTTGGATAAGGAAGCAAAGCGAATGGGTCTGGTGGTAAACGAGGACAAGACGAAGTATCTCCTGTCATCAAACAAACAGTCAGCACATTCGCGCCTTGCCACCCAAGTCACTGTTGACAGTTACAATTTCGAGAAAGTAGAGAATTTCGTTTACTTGGGAACCAGCATTAACACCGATAATAATGTCAGCATTGAAATCCAACGTAGAATCACTCTTGCCAACAAGCGCTACTTTGGACTGAGTAGGCAATTCAGGAGTAAAGTCCTCTCTCGACGTACGAAAACCGCGCTCTATAAGTCATTCATCATGCCCGTGCTGGTATGTATGGCGCAGAAGCATGGACAATGACAACATCCGATGAGGCGGCTCTTGGAGTGTTTGACAGAAAGATTTTGCGGAAGATTTACGGTCCTTTACGCGTTGGCTATCGCGAGTACCGCAGATGATGGAACGCGGAGCTGTATGAGCTTTACAACGATATGGACATAGTGCAGCGAATTAAAATACAGCTGGCTTGGTCATGTCCTTCGAATGGACACCGACGCTCCAGCTTTGAAAGTATTCAACTCGGAACCCGCTGGTGGTAGCAGAGGAAGAGGGAGGCCCCCACTGCGATGGAAAGATCAGGTGGAGAAGGACTTGGCTTCACTTGGCGTTTCCAATTGGCGTCAGTTGGCACAGAGGAGAAACGACTGGCGTGCTTTGCTGAACTCGGCCAAAATCGCTTAGGCGGTTACAGCGCCAAAAAAGAAGAAGAAGAAGAATTGATTTCGACAACGATATAGTAATGTATCGAGTATTCGATTGCTGTATGCCTTGTATGCAGATACGATTTTACAATTATTACATTGCAGAATTTAAGCGATTATATTATTGCATTGCATTTGCTCTCAAGCCAATACAGTTTTACACGTACATTTAACATTTAACACATAACAAATTGCAACTTAAATTTTTGTACCTATCAGCGTTCAGCATAGGAAATATTAGCCGCTATTTATTTAATAGAAAAACGCTGCTACAATCCTCAATGGCGCAGTAAGCCTTTATATCTCTGCATGTATGTTAGTGTATGCGTTTGTGTGTATGTATGTATGTCTTTTACTGCCAAATGTTAACAGCAACCACAATCGCTGCTAATCCTTTTTGGCACAAATTGGCGCTAAATTTAATGAATGACTGTTTCGTGTACAGTTGCGACAATCTAAATTGAAAATAACACAATGGAATTTGGTAAAAAACAATTGGCGCATACGAAACTCTTTGTCGTCTCTACGTACTTACATCCCCACATACATATATGTATGTAGCTTGTATTTCGCTCTACTCCCGAGTGCATATTTAATTTGCTTGAATGCGGCGCTTATCTTGTCGTTTCGGTAGCACTCAGCTGCAATTGGAAAAACATTGAGTATGTAAGTATTTTCCAACAGAAAATTCTCTAAATGGATTGGAAAAGGCATGAAAATTCCTTTGTTTTATTAGTATTTCCTTCGCCCAGCTTAAGCTCGCTCAATTCCTAATCGCATTTATTTAAAAGCTTAGTCCAACAAATTCAGATTTTGAAGTGCAAGAAAAGCTAATATTTTTTTTTTTGTTTTTTTTTTAAGAACTTATATTTAGGAAACAAAGTAAAGTAGGTTTTAAGAGCTTTATAAATTAATTTTCATAAATTTTTCAATTCAAAAACCTTTTTTAAAGGTACTTTATTTTTTGTGAATAAGCCTGTAATTTGTATATGAGATTACCGTGCCTTTACATGCAAAAGAAGTCTTTATTTTCCTTGCTTCCCTTAGAATTTGAATTACCAAATGCACTTTAAAGAATGTAGAATATTCGATAAATTTAATTCGGCTAAACAACCTTATCAAAGCGTGGAGCACAGTGGGCAAAAAATCGGTTTTTTCAACATTCATATCTCATATTAGGATGGTTCAGCCTTAAAAAGCAATATTTGAATAAGAAACATTCATTATAAAAGTTGTAGAGTCATATCCAAATAGAGAAAAAATCCTTGAAATTGACTAAATATTTTAATAAAGTTACGTTTTATAAACACCGACTTTTACACTTTTAATAGATCAAAACTTCCCTCGGTCTTCCTTCGTCTTCGAGCTATAGAAAAGTTAAAGATCGGAACCTTTTCTTTCGATTCTCGAAAAAAAAAAAATGCTAATACCTTTAACGTAATCTTACTTACCGGCCACTTTTTATATCATTTTTGAGGTTAGTTTTGTAGTAAGTCCCACTGCCTACCCTGCCATTTAGCTTAGAAACATCTTTGCAGATAGTCCTCAACATCTTTGTTGATGGTCCTCGAAATGTCTTTGTAGAATAGTACTCCACGTTGCCATTCCTGCTCCTATCTGTACTCCTTATGGAGACTTTGCTGCCAAGACCAGGTAGGGAAAGGAATATTATAGTCTTATTTCCGTCAATTACCCAGAAGGGTTTCTTCATATGCAATAATCTGAGGTATCCCGAGGACTGGATAGCATATAACCTGGCAGCGTTGCAAATTACCAGGAATTTGACGCTTGCATAGATCAACTTATGGAATGTTTGAAATTAGTTTCGGAGCTTTGGTAAGGGGTAAAGGAAAATCTTCCATTACAAACATGGTCGTATGTAGTTTTAAACAGGTTTTATATATATATATATTATATGTATAAATATATTTTTCTCTTTAAAAATTAAATAAAATGAAATTAACAAAATGAAAACAAATTAAATAAATAAAAAAAAAAAACATTTCTAAAAGCTCCTTAAAATTAAATGAAATTAAAAAAATATTATTTTTTTTAACAATACCATCTAAAAAATAAATAAAAAATAATGAAAATAAAAAAGTTTCTAAAAATTAAACTGAAATAATAAATATATATTTTTCGTTTTAAAACAATAAAATCTAAAAATTAAATTGAAAAAAAAATTTGTTAAAAAAAAATTTTTAAATAATAAAGGAAAAAAATCTCGGCTGCTCGAAACTCGAACTGCCTTGTAAAGCTTACATATCAACTTATTTTTCAACAGGTGCATTGAGCTATGGGCAAATAATATAACTATGTATAACCAAATCATGTGTTGAGAGAAACATATTTAGTTGACGTAACTAAACTTAAACTATTTTCTCAGTGTCCATGAAAATATTTTACTTGCCTAAATAAGTTAAATATGTGACATATTATAATATGGTAATCTTAAGAATGTTTGTATTTGCCCATGCCACCCCAGTTGACGTTTAAGCTGCGCAAACTTAAATAAAATCCTACCGTAAAAATTAAGAAAAAAATCTAACTGCAAAGTTAAATACCTAAACATATTAAATTAAGTATACTAGCCTAGTTTCGAGTTGTGTGCCAAGCAATATTTTAAAACATAACTAGAATTCTATCTAAATTCGCTTTTAAGATGAAAAACTTTTTTTTGCCAAAACAAAGAAACAAAAATAACTAGATACTAACAACGAATAAAATAAAGAAGCTACTATGTAAGTGCTTTTTAAAGTCACACTCATGCGCCATGTTGCGGCTGGCTCACTGCTTAAGCAATATTTAACACACGTTAATTTCATTAATACTCAACACCGTTAAAGTATATATTTATTACAAAACTTATTTTGCACTATTTACTAACAATAATTAAATGAAAACAAAATAATACTAAACTAAATTATTAAAATTTAAATAAATGTCGTTCAATTGTTTGTGTGAACTAAACAAATATTTGTTATTTGTGTCTCTGTTTATTTTCTTTTATTCGTCTACTTTATACTCTCTTCCCAAATTAACAAAACAAAAATTTTTAAATTTTTCGTACCTTTAATTTCAAAAACAACTATTAAAATATTTTACATCTTACTTTATAAATGTTTTTCGTTTTTATTTTAATATTTGGTTTGTACTTTTTTGGTGTTCCTATTTTCTTTGTTGGTGTTCTATATTTTTGTTATTTATGTTTGTAGGACGAGAAGAATCAACTTCTTATAACCAATCTTTGGCTTTCGTTGGTAAGTTTCAATTAAAAAAATACAAAAAAATAAAAACTTTAAATAAGCACTTTAAATATTTATAATTATAAATATATAAAATATGTTCAATAAATAATCATTTTGTTCATTAAATAAACTCATGCAAATGAAGTGGCACAAAATTCGTAAAAATATGTAAAAATGAGTGGCTCAGCATTAGAAAATATTCTTGGCTAGTCAAACTTGGTTTAAAAGTTCTGGCAAGCTCGATTTTTTTCAAGTAAATTTTTTGCCACTTCAGCCTTCATAATTTACGCACACGGCATATTTCTACTTACACAGTCCGCTTTCCTCTGCTTCTTACTTACCTTCTTATGCAAATACTCGTAACTAGTATTGTTTATGTTTCACAAGCTCGCTTTTTTTCATAGAACTATTTTCAACTAATCAATTTTTACATATAAGTATATGTACATACATAAGTAGCTCTACAATAGTTTGAGTCCCGCACCCAAAACAATTTTTTAATTATCATTCAAAGCCCTCTCGCTTCTAAGAATTTAATTCTATTCTTTTTCCGTGTACTCACATATATTTACTACACCTAACTTACCTTTAAAAACTTTCTGCCTACTTTTTCATTCATAAACCTTTACATATGTACATTAGAGTGGGCCCTTAAATAGCAACATCTAAAGTTTTTACGGGGCATAAAACCAAAAAACTTGGACATGAAATATTAGCCTTTACACTGCTTTAAGAACAAAGGAAGCCAGGCTTATAGGTCTAAAGTCTATCGCCGTTTTTTGTGCTATGGGATGAGCACTACTTTGATTTCAAGCAATGGTGCTAGATGTTTCTTTACTTGCTGTAACATGACCGATATTATACCCACCTGAGCCAGGATATTTAAAGTGAGAGAAACTATTCATGGCAAATATAATCTTTTTAGTGCTTGTAATTGATTCCAGTTCTCTATTAGTAGTGTTGCTACACACTGATTACAGCCTGTAAAATGGGATTAAACTAGCGTCTCTAAAGATTCATCCGTGGAGCTTGTCCATCCATTGTTCGTTCTTTTAATAGAGGATAAGCTGGTGTACTCTTTTGAGAGAATCTTGCTGAGCCTAGTTGAGACTCTAACGCACATTCTCATTTTCAATCTCAAACAACAACAATTGTGAACAATTTATTTTTTTTATTTTAAATTTTATATGATTTTAAAATGCCTCCAAATGTCAGAAAAAAAATCATGGCCGACGAATTGAGAGAATGAATTTACCTTGTAATATTTTTATCATCGTTGATATTTACTTTATTTCTCCCAGTGTACCCAGCAGTAATCATATATTAGTTGCCTGTCGGAAACTCTCCAATTCTCACCGGTGATGCCAACGCTCTCACAGAGCAACGTTAGGTCCAACACCTTCAGGAAACCAAGTGGAATAGACGCCTACAAAATATATTCAAACGAAGCCATGTATTTTAATCAGGGCTGCAAACCTGTTTTGAACCGATCCAGTTTATCAACCGAACCGTGGCTGTTTTTAGGGTTTCGAATCGAAAAACGAACCGAACCATTTTTATTTTGAAATGCCAAAACCGAACCGAGAACCACCCCAAAAAACGGTGCGGTTCGGTTCAAAATCCACTTAAGCATTTTTCAAGTTTTGTAATTCACAACTTTCTCAAAAAATGCAACCTTACGGTAAAACTGCGAACATTTTTGAGTTTAATGGCATATCTGTGAGTTATAATTTCATCCATATAAAAAATGCTTGAAATGCTTTTATATGGAAGAAAATGCAAATCACTGCCAGCAGAAAAAATTCAAATCCGCGAAAAAATTGCCAAAAATCTACTTAAAAATTTTTTCTAGAAATTCTTATTAAAAATTTTGAAACTTAGATGAAACAAAGTGTGAAACTTGGATTTATTCAGTTTTAGTTGGACGGACCAGCAATTTCAGCAGCGAAAAGTTTCACACAATCGACTCTAGCAGACCAACAAGTCTGGAACATACCAAATTCGTTGTTGTTTATATTTACGCTATTGTTGTATTGTAAGGAGAAAGGTTTTTTTTTCTTTTCAAGGAACGTACTTACATACATTTTTCAAATTGAATTGATTACTTATTAACAATTTTATACAGCGGGCCCAATACATTTAGACCAGCCGATCTCCCACCTAGACGGGCCTGATCTTAAAGCTAACTCTTAGCGGCTCATTACACACCAATTTTTTTATTAAGGTTTGACCATAACAGTTAGGTAAATAGCAAAGGAGCACCGTGCCTTATTAACAAATTAATTAAAACTTAGCTCACTAACTACACACAAGCATTTTAACTTGCAGTTGCATTTAGTAAATAATTTTGTAGTAGATACCACATAGCTACAGAGTACTTAAATATTTGCCTTTGAATACCAATGTATGTATGTAAAAAGCCATTACAGTTTTCATGTAACTTCCAGTTATTAACATAACCAGTCGAATATTGCCGTGTGTGCGAAATTACTAAAATAAAACGCTAAACAAAATCTCTTAAGTAGTATAAATATAAACGGTAGTACTGTAAATAATCAAATACATTCTAAATCATTCAGATTTTTCGCTTTTTTCTCCCTTTTAATGCTGTTCGTTTCAAAACTTACTATTTAAACACTGTAGTTTGTTGTTTTTTTTTGTTTGGTATGCTTCAAGTATTTTGTTTATAAAATATTTAGCTTTAGCATTTTCCAAAATATTTTCAGAAAATATTTATTTTAAATTTTCTAAGACTAAAAGATAATATATAGCTTTTAATGTATGCAGGTATTTTCATTTTACATACATACCTACATACCTATAGAAATTTTATTTGTATGCGTTAAATTTCTGTTCAAACACGATATATTTACATACAATTACTACTTTATGGAACCTATAAAAAAAAAAATATAGCGGTGACGTTGGTAAATTACAAACATTATTTACACGTATGTACTTATATTCTTCATACATACTTCATTTAACGGTAAGTTTTCGAATCAAAGCATAAAAGTATAAAACAAAACAGCAAATAAAATAAAGATTAAAACTACCTAGCTGGCTTCATTTCACCTATTTGTTATCACCCACTTCCTTCTGATTAGAACAACATTCTAACCTCCATGTTAAAGCACAGATTCGCTATCGTGCAGCCCTTGATCTGGTTTTGAACATATCCGCTGGCTACCTATCTTACTCTTAAAGTAAAAAAGTACTCAAAGTAAAAGTAAGAGCTTTCTTCATCAAGGTAGCAATTTGGCAGTTTTGGATCCAAAGTAGCATAACTTGGCTGTATTTTAGCTTAAGTTGGAAGAACGTGAATGAGTGTAACGATACGTACGCTAAAAGTTTTTATTCAATTTTTTCAACCAGATCTCTATAAAAGGAATTGTTACGTAAATCAGGAGTGTCTCTATTATCCAAGGGAATTTCCGTTTACTCCATTTCTGTCATCTAAAGTAATGCCACCAAAAACTATTATACCAGCTTCCACTGCTTTCCTGGATATTCGCATAAGACCTACGCTAAAACAATTTTCCAGAAACCAAGCTTAAGCTACTACCGCCCCAAAATGTTTAGCTTCCACAGCGAACCGAGCACAGTTCAAATAATCGCATGAGAATCATTAAAAAAAATACGCCACCTCTCCATCATAAATATGAGCTCACAATTATGCCACAGAGGTAACACCTTTACCAACATACTCTGCACCTTCGCCACACATGTCTATCCGCCAGCAGACTTCCGTGTCAGTATCCGCAACGGCATCCTGCATTGTGTATGCGATGCGTTTTGTACAATTCAAATTTTTTCCCCCACAACAATGTTGCATTAAAAGTATACTTGTTGCAGTACCAAGAGTTACAGCGTTCTGCGAGGAAAAAAATCGCGGAAATGCTTTGTTTTTATTTTACTACTTTTTTTTTAGCGGGAATGCACTACCCCTGGGAGCGCATGATAACAGCAAAGGTTGCAAGTGTTATGCGTAAAATAAAACAGTTGTTCCACATACGCGTACTCCTGTAGCCGCGCAACAATAAAACTTGTGGTATTACAGATTGTAGTAGTTGTTAGTGACATTCGCCTCCACGGCGAAAGTAATTAAATTATTTATTTAAATTGATATTAAAAGTGGTAGGTTAACAATGCAAAAACAAAACAAACATTGGAATGTGAATGCATTGGTATGCAAAAAAAATGTCAAGGACAACCATAAAAAATTTTGTCAGCATTGCAATGCGCTGCTGGTCAACTGCAT